GTTGTCCTATAGTATAGCAGAAAGGACTGAGGAAGTTACTTTTGGAGAACCCTGCATTTGTTATGATCGATGACTTGAATATGGACTACGTTTGTAAGAAGATGGCTGACGATTATCAACTGATGGGTTTGGGTAAGGTTGGGAAATGGAAGTACGATGGTAAGTTCGGCAATGGGTACTGTTTACCGAAACATAAGGACACGTGCAATCAGACTCGTCTTATTCACACTTTTCATGTATGTAAACAGCAGCACAGCACACTGGCGACATGCGCCCACTCAGAACTCAGAGATATGGCTTCCAGGTACGAGTTCACTTTCAACTGGCTATGGCGACTTAGCGCCCTAACAACTCACTGTTCACACACTGGATCACCCGTGATATCCCACACACGTCACTCTGAACACTCACGCATGCACACACACTCTTCCCACTAACTACAGCTATGGCAGCTATTGCTGCCTCTAACCTGTCGCTATGCTAATTCCTCCTCTCTCGCCCACTGCGTCCTCCGGGCTCCCTGCAGACCTCCTTGCACAAGTCGCTGTGGCAGCGCTTCCGCATGGTTGCCATAGCTGTAGTTAGTGGGAAGAGTGTGTGTGCATGCGTGAGTGTTCAGAGTGACGTTTGTGGGATATCACGGGTGATCCAGTGTGTGAACAGTGAGTTGTTTGGGTGCTAAGTCGCCATAGCCAGTTGAAAGTGAACTCGTACCTGGAAGCCATATCTCTGAGTTCTGAGTGGGCGCATGTCGCCAGTGTGCTGTGCTGCTGTTTACATACATGAAAACTGTGAATAAGACGAGTCTGATTGCACACGAGCAGATGGCGACCGATTTGTCCCTCATACTCGGAGTGCTCGGCGATTGGTGGAAAGGTCGCGTCGAAGGTGGTCAACTGCATGTTGTGGAGTCTGCCTAAACGGTCTAATTTCAATTTAAGATGTGTTGAGGATTTGGTTGGTGAGGTCGTTCGGATTAACAATCAAGTCAAGAGGGACGAACTGTTGGTTGGAGTGTCATATGACGTACAGGAAATGTTTTCCGATCTTCCGCATTGCTCGATTCTCGCTGCGGTGGACTGGGCGATTGATTATTGGAAGGAGAAAGGCATGGCTGGGGTGTCTGTCAAAAGCAGAGGTAAAGGAGCGAAAATGGTCAAAGGAAAAAGCGAGGAGGGTTGGCGTACTGTAGACTTCAGTCTAATTGCTGCTTTTGTTCATTTTGAGATGGAGCATACCTTTGTGAGGGTGGCCGGGCGAGTGTTGCAGCAGAAAGTCGGTATCCCAATGGGCAAATCTTTGAGCCCGGCACTTGCGTGTCTACTGTGTGCTTACAGCGAGTTTTTGTTTTTGTCATCCCTCGGCACAGACCAGTCTCTGGTACATGGCTTTCGGCTTGTGGACGATGTGTCCATTTTTTTTGTAAAGAAGAAAGGCGAGTCGTCCGGCAAGGTGAATAGAATTCTGCGGTTGTTTGAGAGCTGTTATGATGAGAATCTGACGCTGGAAAAGACTAGTGAGGGCAGCTGTTGGGATTACCTGGGGTGAGTGCTGAAGATCTTCAATGAATCAGTTGGGCTGGCATGCATGCCTTGTCATAAAAATCAGACAGGGGACGTCAATGGGAGGATGATTTTTCAGAGCATTCAGGACTATTGTTCCTACTCATGCAAACAGCAGAAGATTGCAGTCATTAGTTCTTTTCTCCATCGCGCAAAACGTTTTTCAACCGTACCTGGGACGTAATTTCCATTTTGTTTACATTGAAAACTGAGCTGTGGCGGCAGTCGTATCCGGATGGTTTTTTTGATAATGCGTTGAGGAATTTCTCGAGGAAATTCGGGGGGATATGGGATCACTGGGTTTCAGTGCTGACTGGTTGGAGAAAGGGGTCGTAGTGTGGTTGTTGTTGGTCCTGGGGAGTTCCCCAGTTTTAGTGTTGACAGAAGGCTGAACTATTTTAGTATTTTCTATTTTGTTTTCTATTTTTTGTTCTCTGTTTTTCTGGTTTCCTTACTTTTCTGGTTCCTTGTTTTCTGTTTTTGTTTTTGTTTTGGTTCTGAGAAGTGGCAGTGTGGGCTCAAACCTGTGAACGGTGTAGTAGGATCTTGATGGACGTAGTGGCGGGTTCGAACCCTGGTCGGAGTTGTTTCTTTTTCGAAGTGGCAGTATGGACTCGAGCCTGTGAATGGTGTAGTAGCTTTACGATGAATGTAGTAGCTGGTTCGAATCCTGGCCGGGAGTCACCTTTTTTGCTGTGAAGTGGTAATAAGGACTCGAGCCTGTGTGTGGTGCAGTAGAATTAAGACAATACAGTAGCGGGTTCGAATCTTGGTCGGAAGCCTTTTTTTCGGTCTGGCCGGTTGAGTGAATATGAACGGACTCTAGGATGTTCCTTCGATGCTTTTGCTATTTTTTGTAGTATAGGCTAGTATGGTTTTTCTATAAATGGAAGTCTATCGTCTAGTTCGGTACCGACATACTTGACCCCTGATGAGTGCTGGTCTGGCAGCCAGCCGAAACCGGTCGGGTCGTTTGCCAACCAGATGCTTGCGTCTGGTAGTTTCTTTGCTTCATGATTACATTTTTTGAAACGTCGTATTTGGGATTTTCGACTACTTGACTTCTTGTGGCCTTCTCCATGTCCGTCTTCTTTTCCTCCTTCCTCGGTTGTGCCGTCAGTCTCGCATGTTTCTGGACGTCACTCTTGACTTGGTGCAGTTGTTTGCTGTCCTCACTTGATGAAACTGGGAAGCTCTATCGTCTACGATAACACCTCCCGTTTTTGCCAATTATGAACCGGTAGGCCGCGGAATGCATAGTTGACTTTTTCTTGCAGTTTCGAACTGCTCACGGCCCAATCTTGCTGTGGACTGTTATTTCTGGTAATTCTGAACTGTGCAGTGGTCACAGGCGCAGTTGTCTCTTTTTTTTTTTTCCCGCGCATGGCTTAGACGTCTCGGCCGTGGCCCAGCCACGTGACAAGACCCCTTTTTGCCGTGGCAGAGCCATGGGCGTGGCCTAGGCATCTTGGCCGTTGCCCAGCCACAGGTGTGGCCTAGACATCCCGACCGTGGCCCAGCCATGGCCTAGACATCTCGGTCATGGCCCAGCCACGGGCGAGGCCCAGACATCTCGGCCATGGCCCAACCACGGGCATGGCCTAGACATCTCAGCCGTGACCCAGCCATGGGTGTGTCCTAGACATCTCGGCCGTGGCCCAGCCACGGGTGTGGCCTCCTCAGAAATGAACAACAACAAAAAAGACAAAACGATGGAAAAAAAAGCAACAACCAGTGGCTGCCCGATTTTGCCACTTCCAAACTTCCAACGCAGTAGAAGTCCACAAAGCTGTGTCCTTTTGCAGTTTCTAGCTGCCCTCGGCCCGGACCTGCAGTGCCCTGTTATTCCTGCAAATTCAAAACTGAACACCGCACTCCCGTGTAGTTATTTCATAATAAAAAATACTAACCCACGACTATGAGCCCAGCGAAAGGCTAAGAGTGAAGATGTATGCATGTTGCAGTAATCAGGGTTCGGGGCTGACGAATCAAAGAAGAAAATTAATTCATGTTGCGAGGATGTGAGCCCTCGCAGGGACCCTTTTTGCCTAGCCCAGGAGGCCCAGCATTACCGGGCAGGCCTGAGTGCCGCGGGGGAAGGATTTCCTTGAGCCTACAGGGCCCTACCGGGGTCTTAAACGGTGGAGTGCTGTGTGACCGGGCACTGGACTCGAAGGCCGCATGCTGCTTTGTCACGCAGGGCCAAGCGCGAAGCCTTGAAAGCCCCGCCCAGGCTCAAGCATTATGTCTACTTTACCTACCAACCGCTACTCTGGCATGTTTATTCCTTTTATTTTTCGACAGAAATCCTACTTCTTCAGGTTCTTCCTCCCAGCTCTGTAGTTTCTTGGACTCCTGAGCTAACTATCTTGAGTAACTCCGGGCTCCCTGGGTAATTATCCCCCGTGCTCCTGGGTAACTATCCGCACATCCATTGTTACTTGAGCCCGTGGGTAACTTTTCACACATCCATAGTTACTTGAACCCCTGGGTAATCGCTACCTGTGCCAAACTTCCGCGGACTCCTGAGATTCTGTCCCCCTCCAGAATTCGTAGGGCTCTTGGGATGATGATCATCCCTATCGTCCCTCTAGGGTCCCTTGTTGCATCGGTCCCATTTTATTTTGCGTATGGCTGAGCACAAGTTTCCTTGCCGCCATGATAGTTACTCAGTTTTGCTGCCTTCTTTTTAATCTTCACCGCTTCGTGTACTAAAGTCCCCATCGGTTCCTTGAGCTTTTCCAAGAAGTTGCCCTTCGATTTAGGTTCGACTCCCACATTCCTCGACAGAGGTCAGTATGTGCAATTAGCCCAGGGCCTATCGTCCTCACCCCTGTATCTTCTTGTTCTTCTTCTTCTTGTTCTTGTTCCTCTTCTTCTTCTTCTTCTTCTTCTTCTTCTTCTTCTTCTTCTTCTTCTTCTTCGTTGATTCATTTTCTCATTCGTTACATCTTCTTCTTTTTCTTGATTAAAGATGGGTGGCACAGGTTCGAAGTTGAGTTTTGCAACAAGAATGTTGCAGAATCATAACAGCTACATTTCTCAATGGGCGGAAATGGTCAGAGAGATGGCAGAGGAGGATGAGGAGGACAAAAGGTATTGACTGCGGTGGTTTCTTCTGAGAGAATATGTCCCTGTTTTTGGAGTTGAAGGCTGTTGACTGCAGGATTCCGTGTGGGCAGAGGACAGACACTTCAATGGTGTAATACGTTGGCAATCTGGGATCATCGAGTACTGCTGGAGGGTGTAGGCTGGCAAGAAGGGCATTGTGCAGTATTTTTGTGCTGTGAGACCCCAACCACGTGATGCAATGCTTGTGTACAAATGTTAGCCACTACAAGCATGAGCATGTATGAGACTCTCTGACAGTGATAATTGAAGGTCAAATTCCTTTTTCTCAATATGAAGGGATATTGTTTGATTTTCAATTAACTGCAGGTTTCTGGAGGAATATCGGCGGATGAAGCGTGAACTCGATTCTCTACACACTGAGCATGAGTCCCTGAGAGCAAAGTGTGCTGAGCTGAGGGAGGGGCTTGCTATGGAGCAAAGGTATTTCGGAGCCATACTGTGTTACTTCTAAACTGCTGCTTGTTGATTTGTTTCTCAGATTTCAGTCAAACCATTTATGCTGCATCAACCAAGACATTTGAAGTGCTTCACAGACCACAGGCAAAGAAGCAAACTATTTATACCAGGTACCTGTATAGCAGAGTATACTGACACTTCGACTGCTGTGATGCTCCTGTTTCCTTAGAAGCTGCCGTTGGTCGTGAAAGCAGCACCACGAAAAACGCTGGACTGCATCCAGGAAGTAGGTGTAGTGTCCTGTCTTGGTGCATGTGTATCCCTCTTGTGAGTGACCTAGAATGGCAGGTTGGTTTGAAACCAGGGTAAGGAAAGAACATAACACACCAGAAACGTAAGTTTGCTGAATTCACCTGGCTATGGATGGTTGGATGGATAGCTAGAAAGGTGGGGGAGGGAGGGAGAGTATCCAACCTCTTAATATAACACAGGGCCGTCTCGCCAAGTCTGGATTGGACTCTCCATGAAGGCTGCCGAAACGGACACATTGACTACCACAGGCGCATCACAGGTGGTTTCTTCGGAAAGGTTCACTATGGGCTAGCAAACCTGGGGGAAGCATTTGCTGCATAGCGAAAAGTGGGTTGGACTACAGGCGTTGATCGGGACAACGGTCACTTAATTTGAAGCACTGGAGGACAAAAAAAGCTGTGCTGCAAGCACGCTCTCTTTCTTTGTCGTTTTAGGTTTTCCACGTTTCCTTTCCCTTGTCAATGTCCATTTTTTTCAGTCTGCTTTCAAATCCAGTTTTACTACCTTTTTTTTTCAGTAGAAGAATGCTCCGAAAAGCGTTCGTTAGGCTGTGCTGCGCCGGTAGCACTAACTGCCGCAGGGCGCAACTGCGGGGTACCAGCGCAGCCCGCTGGACCACGTCGGGCCGATTGCGCAGGAGGAACAAGCGTCGGCAGGGAACGTGGTACCGCGCCATCACCGAGGTGGGACGGGTGTGCAGGGAGTGGCGTCACCGCTAGACTCCATCACCAAGGAGAGGTGCACGCGCGTGGCGCCAAGTTGCGGCGCTGGATGCGAGACTGTGGACTCCGGAATAGGCGGATTACACGTGGGTGGGCTCGGAAGAGGAGCGCATATCACACACGTGTGCAGGAGATCTGCGTGCTGACTTGGGCGTGATGGCAAGCTACAAGGACGACAGTATCAAAAAGACATTAAAAGACTTCAACGGGAGAACGACAACGACGTGACGACAGTTACTGTACTCGGAGAGACGATAATGACGGGAGGCTATCTGGGGCAAGGGCAGCCGCCGAGTAATCAGGAAGGAGGAGGATATTCGGGGAAGGTACTCAGGCAGGGACGGGGAGAGAAAGTAGACGGAAAAGATAGAGGCGAGAAGAAGGTGAGGAGATAAGAGCGGTGGGAAAGCAGCTGTGGCTCGGGGTGGGAGAGCAGGTGTGGCGTGGAGCAGAGGAAAGGGGGAAGCTACAACAGCCCGGGACGACGTACTTCAGAATAGATTGCGCGACAGAACAATGTCCGAAAATCAGGTAAGAGGAGGGGAAATGGGGAGGAGGAGGGCGGTGCGGGGTAGAGGAAAGGGGGAGGCTACGACAGCCCGGGACGGCACACTTCGGAACGGGTTGAGGGAACGTGCCAGGACAACGTCGAAATTCAGGTAACAGGAGGGGTATTGGGGAGGGTAACGGGTGGAAAGGGCAGAAAGAAACTCAGATCGAGGGTAGGCGAAAGAATAGAAGGTAAGAAGGTGGGTTTTGTTGGGATTGCAGAAAGGGGATTAACAAAGGAAGGGCGATCAGCAGTGAGATACAGAGGCAAACACAGCGGCAGAGGGCGGAGGGAGACTGGGGGGACGAAAATGTACTAAGGGAAGGGGGAGGTGAGGAGAGTTTTCCGCGATCGAAAACAGGGTGTTGGAGGTGCCCCCCACAGAAGAGGTGACGAGAGGTGGAGGTACAGCTCCCTGGCAGATCCCAACCAGCCCCCGGAATCGCTAAACCATTGACTTAAGTAACAACTTAAGGAACGAATATGCGGATTACTGATAAACCCGGGCGTTTACAGGGGGAAGCGGAGTAAAGAAAATCTAAATATATAAAAATATAAACCAAAAAGCAAACAACGCACCAAAAAACAACAAAAACAAAAATCGGGTAGAGTGACCACCACATCATCATGAGGACGACTAATAGGCTGCAGCATGCACATAAACGATTGGATTCGATGCTGTTCTACAGCGGAGCCATGAGACAACTGGCAGACGAACAGCTCCGGCATAAACGCTGGTCACATCAGAACAATGCCCCGAAGACACCCGTCCCCCAGCCGCCCCCACAAGGGGAGAAAGGTCTAAGTAGGGAAATGCAGCAGATAGAGGACACAGGGGTATTGGCGGAGGAAGAGAAGGAGATGGAGTCACGGGGGAAAACACCCCACAAGGGGAAGGACCCCTCCCCCGTCCAGGGATTGAGTAATGGTCAGCCGCAGCGGACAAACTCCGAAACCCACACCAGGGCCAAACCCTGACCATTCAGCGGGGCCAGGGCAGCCCGCGGACCGGAAATCTCGACATTCCCCTGGACGGGTTGCCACCAGCTCGGCTGTGTAACCGTATGAATGCCGTGAACGCGTGTTCACGTTCAAACGCGCGCGTTCAAACCCCCTGCCCCAGCGTTCATTCTCGTTCAAACACACTACGCGCGCTCACGCGCAAAAAAATTGAACGCAACCCCGCGGGGCGCACGCGCGCGTCGGGGGCTACGGGGTGGTGGTCCGAGTTCAACGAACCACCGAAGTGCCAAAACTGCCCCCCGGGACCACCCCATATGTAAAAGGTCCTTTTTTTTTTGAGGGGGAGAGTGCAAATACCCCTAACACTGCTCAGACCGCCCATGCAGGCTATCTGGAGGGTCCTCGCAGCACTAGACTGCAGACCCTCCATCAAAATCGTGGCAGGCAGTAAGTATGAAGAGGAGGACGAGCTGGCCGAATATATCCTCAGGATTCAAGTTGAGGTCTGTGTTTCAGCAGTTATGGGTTGCTCACGTAGCTAGGCCGTGTTGGTCTCTGCACGTGATTCCCAGGGCTTGGCTGCACTACTCACCAATGTGCAAAACAAGAATGAATCTTCTGCAGAACTTGGAATAATACACCGCCATATGTTTTGTCTTTTGTGCATGTGGTTAGTAGAGGCCCTTAGGGCCACTCCACATATTCCTAAGAAAAGAAAAGAGAGAAAATGGAAAAACAAGAAAAAAAAGAAAACGAGAAAAAAAGAAAAACAAGAAACATTTCTCGAAGAATGCAGATCCTATATGCACGACTTAGGGCCTCGTTGCACTGCTCTCGAAGTGTGCAAAAAGAGAGTGAATCTTCTGCTAGAATATGGAAAGATGCACCGTCATGATTTTTGTCTTTTGTGCATGTCGAGAGCAGTGCAGCGAGGCCCTTAGTCTTTGCCTCTGAAACGTAGCGTGGTTTTTTTTTTTTTTTTTTTTTTGCAGGCTTGAGGTGGTTTGTGGCAGCGCGTGGTGGACACGCGCGGAGATGGTGAGAGAGAGGAGAGAGAGGGAGAGGAGATGGACACACACATGAAGCAACAGCTGAGTGGAGGTCCAGTCCGGCTCAATGAACGAACGAATGAACCACTGAATGAATGAACCTGCCGCCCTGGACCTAGGCCGAGGTGATATACCGGACTGGGTCCAGTAGCGGAATAACCTGGTACCGGACCAGGGTCAGGCCGGCGGCCTGAAACTGGTCCGGCCTCCCTGCCGGGCCGGAGGGATACCGCTCCATGGTTTAACAATTTTTTTTTTTTTTCAAAAGAAAACCACATTATGTATTCATCCAAAAACCAAAGAGGCCGGCCACCTCACATACAGACCGGAGCTGGGAGCCTTACCCAGAGTTCGCTTATGACTGCACTTAAAACACCTGAGTAGTATCAACAGGCTTAAAACCTGTACTAGCCGCTGTGTGCCCGAGAAACCCAGACCCCTCATTGGAATATTCAACTCAATACCTACAGCCCTTTCCTCTTGCCCTTATTTTAACCCAACTTACCCCCCCAGCCCCAGATTGTCCCCCCTACCCCCCTCCCCTACTGTAGAAGGTCAAGGGGGTCGCATCGCAAATACGGTGCATGCACACGGGTTAGTAGAAGGTCAAGGGAAAAAAGAAAAAAAAAGGGGTCGCATCTCAATGGCGATTGGCCCTACTGCGGACTAACTCCCTTGAGTAATGGGGGATAACAATGGCAATGGCTAATTGCCCCAATGCCTTTGAGAACTTCAGGGAATCAGAAAGTAACAGGCTCTACTATTACGTGGTTAGAATGCCTTCAGAATTGTGAATGCTTGCTCCAGGCTGTGGTTTACCCGGGCCCATGCCCCACACTACTACGTAGAGGGGGCTCAGTTTTTTTCCCAAGTACTTTTCAAAATGGTCACAGATCAGATGGGGGGATCCGGTGGTTCTGTGTAAGAAAAGAAAAAAAAAAAAAAAAGTGAGAAAAAAGAGAAACGAGAAAAAAAAACGAGAAAAAAGAAAAAAAAGAAAAATTTCTCGTTTTTCTTTTCTTAGGAAAACGTACAGTGGCCCTAAGGGCCTCTACTCACCACATGCACATAGACAAAACATATGGCGGCGTATTATTCCATGTTCTGCGGAAGATTCATTCTAGTTTTGCACATTTGGTGAGTAGTGCAGCCAAGCCCTAAGAATCACGTGCAGAGACCAACACGGCCTAGCTACGTGAGCAACCCATAACTGCTGAAACACAGACCTGAACTTGAATCCTGAGGATATATTCGGCCAGCTCGTGCACCGCTTCATACTCAGTGCCTGCCACTATTTTGATGGAGGGTCTGCAATCTAGTGCTGCGAGGACCCTCAAGATTGCCTGCATGGGCCATTTGAGCCATGTTAGGGGGATTTCTACACCCCCCCCCAAAAAAAATGAAGAAAAAAGGATCTTTCACACATGC